GGGTTAAAGATTACTGTTTCAAAGTTTACTTTCTGAAACGGAAGTTTGGATAAATTTACAAAAGTTAAGAAATGTGGTAACACTGGAGAAAACCTACGTAGCTGTCTTTTTGCTTATTAAATACGAGGCCGTATGACAATTGTATGACCTGTCTCGTTGATGTGATAATAAAGATGGTGATTTGATGCCGTAAATAAACTATGTATAAATTATTTTCAATTGTGTAATGTGAATTCGATTTTTGCAATCTTACACTATCATTAACTGAATACTAAATCAAGCCGGGAATAGGCTTGTGCTGTATAAAAAAAAAGACAAAGTTTCTATAAATATCGGTGGGCAAAGAAGGGGCATTCGATCAACTTCGAATTATTTGCACTTTTTTTTTTTCTCTTTCTCTAATTCTTTAAAATATTATAAAAACATCGGCTTTGCTCGATTTTCAAACGCACAAGCTTACTACAACAAATCTTTATTAAACATTATATATATATCTATTTATTTTTTTGTTTTTACCAACCTACTTTCGTTTCACGAAAAGACATTGACGCTTGTCGTTGATATCCTGCAGCTATTCTTGTAGCCACTTAGTTAGGTATAGAAAAACTTTGATATTTTGTAACACATTTACACTTCTCTGAATAACTATTCATAACTAACTATTCATAACTTTCTTTTCAGTTTGTGACAAATACCTATTTACTACTATTTCTGCAACACAAAACCTTCAAGTATGCGCACAGGTGGCCTTTTTCGAAGGAATACTGTCGTCACCCCTAAACGCGATGAGGAATTTGGAGATTACGCGACTGTTATTAGCTCGGAGGTACTGACATTGTAGATGAATTTATCTTTAATGTCTTATATTATATTTTGTCACTGATCTATTTCTTTTTCTTATCAAAAAGGAGGATCCAAAAAGACTTAAGGAATACATCACCAGGCTTTACAAGTCTTTAAAGGAAAAGGTACGTGACGTAGATAATTTTATGCTGCATTCTCCTTTGTAATATAATATTATTTGTCCTGTGTAAACATAAACTGTTTTTTTAAATTTTCGGATCGGAAATAATTTTTCCTTCAATAGAGTAAAGGTCTTAAGTCAGCCTA